CTAAAGTTTCATCGGAACGAATTTACGGAAAATTAACTAACGAACGGAGACGTAACAATACTAACTTTCTTACGACCAGTAACAACAGCTAACAGAGAAATTTTCATTTTGCTATAATGGACATAGCATGTGTATATCTATCTATGTATATGTCCAAAATAATAAATACAATGTGGCACCATCTATTTAATGACAACACAAAGAAAAATGCCCAAAAAAGATTCAGACAATTAGAAAAATAACTACAGTGAATGCAATAACCATTTCTTTATAACAGAATACAATTTCAAATATAAGTACTCTTCCTCAAAACAAGAACACGACTTTCACTAGGACTGTATGTGAGGATTTAATTATATCTTTATTGATGTAATTTGTAAATATAGTATAAAAAAATAAAATTCTTAAAAAAAGTTATTTTTTCAATAATGAGTAACACTTTAATATGTAAAAACATTACAGTTTATATCAACATAATCTACTAGCATAGATAAAGGGAGTAGGAAGAGGTTGCAGCAGTGAGCACTGAAGGTACCAGCAAGAGCCCACCTGATGAAATCTTCTGGTGTAGACCTTGATGGTAGCAGCATATACTCAAGTGAGAACCTTGAGGTCTGAGGCCTATATTCTGTTGCTGTGGCGAAATAGACTTTGTTAAATGTAGATGCTTTTTACGACAGAAATTTCTTTGAAATAAATGTTAAGTTATTTAACAGGAATAGAATACTAAAGAAAATGGGAGAAGTGTCTTCATAAATAAAATGTGAGTTACATTCTGTTGAAGATGATTATATCAAAGATAACAGGAGATAGAATCTATTTGGGTTTCTGCTACCAGATATAAGGAAAGAAGAATTTTAGCAGAAACTTGTTAAAGCATCAATTGAAACTAATGAAATTAATGACAAACACTATAGTGATATTAAGATTTCAGGTGTTAATGAAGTCTAAATTATGGGTGGTTTCAGAATAAAGATTGGGAAATTTTATGAATAAAACCAAATCATGAGGGAGACAGTTTTAGAAACTGTTCAAGATTGTTTTCATCACCAATTAGTCAGGAAACTACTAGGAACAATGCTAATTTATATTTATTAACTTTTAATGTATAAATGATTGACTGCCGAGACTAGATAAGATTTGGGTGCAAGTGATCATTTCTCTATTAGGTTTGGTGTTTTACTTCATATGGAGATCAGAAATAATGATATTTTAGTTACAAATTAAAAAGAAGACCAAGAGAGTTGGTCAAACAAAATTTTAGGAAATTGAAATGGGTAAATGAAAAAAGAATATTTAAGGATTTTTTTTTACATAAACTAAAGGTAAGCAAAATGTTAGATTGGAAGTTAGGCCTTTGAAGGATGATAAAAGAAAGGCCCATATCTGATTATGATATCATTGGAAAGACTGTTGAAAGATGCTTTGCAAAGTCATTTAACAAAGTTTAGAATTTTATTGGATAGTCAACATGATTTCACTAAGGGAAAATCTTGCCTTACAAATATTTTGACATTTTTTGAAAAGGTAGATAGTTTTATGTAGATGAAGATAAGGGTGTAGATTTGGTGTATCTGGATTTTCAGAAAGCATTTGACAAGGTGCCACATAAAAGGCTTATAAAAGAATGTCTATAGGTGTGGAGATAAGTTAGCAAATTGGATAGAAGAAAGCAGAGTGTTGTTACAAATGGAGTTCAGTCAAACTGATTTAATGTCACAAGTGGGGTAAGTCAGGGGTCAGTCTTATGACCTTTGTCATACAAGAAGAGGATGAAATATCTCAAATTGTTTTCCCTTGAAAAACGAAGAGTTGGGGTTGATTGAGGTGTTTAAGATTGTTAATGGAATTGATAATGTTAATGCCTCATCGTTTTTCATACTTAGTGGTAAGAATGGTAGGATTAGGGGACACAAATATAAATTTTGGCAAGGTAGGAGTTTTATTTTTTTATTGTTTTATTTTTCTAAGAGGACGGTTGGTCTTTTGAATGGCTTGTCTTCAAATGTGGTGGATTCAGTATACTTAACAGAACTTAAGAGAAGGTAGATAAACATTTGAATGATAAAGGTTGGCTTCGAGTGTTACATCTTTATTTCAAAGTTTAGTTTAGTGGATGGGAAGGCTTAAATGGACCCCAGGATCTTTGTTATCCTTAACTGAACTATTATTTTAACAAATAAACTCTCAGTTAATTGCAATCAGTCTGAATAAATGATTCTTAAATAAAATAGAGGTCAGTTGGAGGTAAAAATTAAAAATACTGTTATTGAACAAACTAGTTGCATCAAATATTTGAGTTATTAATAATAAATTGGAGACAATATATCAAAATGGTAAGTATTAAATTGTCAAAAACTACTACCATTTCAAAATTACATTAAATTAGAAATTTTACAGATGATTTATTATGCACTCGAAAGTTGTAATGAATTATAAAATATATGACCTTTGGATCAAGGCTAGACAATGTAATAGTAAAACCAAACAATCTGATTTCTAACATTCTGAAAATCAGCAATGCGTGTAAATTAGAATTAGCAAAGTTCATTTTCATAGCTATGTTACCAGGTAAGCTGTTTTTAATAAATTTCAGCTACCCAAATGTCTTAACTCTTTAAATAACGGGTCAATTAAATTTGGAGGAGTTAAATTATGATCCACGAATCTGAGATAGGTCTACTATTTATCAGCCCTACTACAAGGAGTTCATTTCAAATTAATCATCATAAATGTGGCTGACTAGATGACTAACTCAGTAACTGGTCTTTCCTGCATTTAAAATAATTGACATTAGTAATTACATTCCTTTTGTAACTTCCTTATAAACGCAAATAAAAATGACGTTATTATTAATGTAGAAGGCTAGAGTGAAAGCACTGCAAGAAGCATTCTTTTAGTGTTACTGTTACAACTTACAGTACAATAAGTTATAAATTACAATCCAGTTTAAAATTAACTGTACAAACTTCTGAACTAAATTTAATCTACCTTATTGCAAACTTCACGAACGACATCATCAACTTCCTTAACTTCACTAGTTCCACCAACTCTGCAAGACATATTTCAATATAATAGTGCAAATTAAAATTCTTCAAGTAATATACCTTCTCCACCAATCCTTAATTAATTCTAAATGCTAAAATCACTTGTTTGCGCTTTGGTTATAAACATCACGTGCACATAAATCATAAAGTTCCGGTTTGATTTTCATGCCATCTAGGATTTGAATATGTGAAAAACAAATTATATAGGGATATACGAAAAAGTAAAGGTTAATGTACAACATAATAGCATTTTGGACTAACTAATAATTTGATTGTCAATTATATTATCAATTAGCAAAACAGCTTATATTCATTGATCTCTTATATTGCATGTAATTGGGCCAGGATCTTTAGTATGAGAAGCAGACCAGTTGTGACATTTAACTGATATAGATATTAATTTTACTTTGCTATAATTAATATGATACATACAGGTACATTCAGATAATTTTGTTCTGAATTTTTATTGCAGCTATTATGCACGTAGTTATGTCATTTTCATTAACAGGATGTTAATAGTTTGTAAATGCGTGTTATTCCTTTTACTTAGGTAAAGCTTACATATGGCAATGGCTAGGATTTTGTAACCTTTTGGCCCTCTTTCTGTGTTCACTACAGGGGACACTAATAAATGTACTTGTAAAAAATGGTATGAGTTGGTGGTTTTCTTCCCTGTATATGTTATTTGGGATAGCCGGTGACGTGCATAGCTTTGGGTCACGGGGCACGGCACTTGGAGTCAAAGTCTTATCTGAAACTGTGAAATATCATAATTCGTTTTGTATTTTTCTGTACTCGAGTGTGTGGTAAAGTTTTCTATTCACCTCAGCAGTCCGCAGAAATCGATGGAAAACTGTAGGCTAGCAAGTCTGGTGTATACACTAACTACTCTTACTGTTGTGATACATAATTAACTATATGCTCGTTACTTTCTTAGTTAATATTTAAATATTTAGTAATTTCTGTTTGTTTGTTTTTCAATTTAATGTGGACACAGAGAGCTGCTCAAGTAAGCAACATAACTTTCCCTTATGTTAGCTACGTAAATGGTCACCAAGTGGGTTTTCTTGCAGGAAAAATAACTGTTATTTCACTCGTGATGTTCAAAAATATATATAACTTATTTTCTGTCGGCAAAATTTGTAATGGCTTGAGGCTTCCCGTTCTTGTGTTCAAGCGTGAGTATGAAGTAGATTAATGTCATGTGAGTGAGTGTATGCCGTGAGCAGCCTGGTTTTGTTTATATTATTGTATTTTGCTATTTAAAGCCAGGCTCTTATTTGTTAAAGTATCTTTAATACTGTTTTTCAGAATGTTAGATTATTTTAAATTATAAAGTTTAACTTAAAGAAAGGAGCTCACACTGAATTTGTGAAAGAAAACGAATATAAATTTCTTTGCACATACCAGTTCCACACACCTGTTACTATCACTTGCCATTGTTTTCTTTGTGTATTGTGTTTGTGTTAATAACTACAGTTATTTTGTTTTTTGCGTTTTGTTTGTGGACTCATTCTTTGAGATGAACTCAATAAAAGTTCAAAGAGGCATGAACTAAGATATTGCATTTCAATATTCATTGTACCTCCTGTTTTGCAGACCCTATCCATTTCATCTGCTGGAAACCTGTTCACTAGAATACCACACTGCACATAAAGACTTGTTATTTCTTCACTTGTATATGTGAGCTTTCCTTTGCTGTCATATTTAATTTATTCTTTGCACAAAATTTCTGGAATCGTTGTTGTTTCTGATTTTTAACTATCTCATGGATACTAGTGTGCTTGAAAACCACAGTTAAAAAGTAGATCTTTTGACACTAATCCAGGATTTATTAATAAGGTAGTTTATGTTTAACATGCTTTTTCTTCATTTGAGTATCTGTTAATGTAAAGTTCGATAATCACGATCAACATAAAAGAGTACTTTCTAAGATAACATAAAACTTATGGGGAGAGGAAGAATATGCAGTTGATGTGATGACTTGGTCTGAAAATGTGGCAAGGACTAGGAAAAGCCCTCTCTTAGACCCAGAGTTTTTCTCAAAAATGATGAGAGAGTTATGTTTGTATTCTCATGTTGTCCTCAGATTTTATGCAATGTCCATACATGTGTGCAACAACACAGAAATCTATTCATTCATACATGTAAATTACAATATACATATATTGCAATGTTATATATTGCACATTTAATAGTACCCTTAGACAACTTTCTCTGGCTAACGTGCTACTGCCATGGAAACATACACAGGTCACCACTTCTAACTATGTTTAATTAGCTTTTGTGCTATAATGTGTTGTCATCTACAAGTTGTTAAACCCAGCACATTTTTCCAGCACCAAGAAATTAATAAACACTGACAGACTTCAAACTAAGACTTTTCAGCTAAAATTATTTCGTCCATGATTAATATTTATACTGTTAATACAGTATATATCAATACATATTCAAACTAATCTAAGCTAAATTCAATATTCTACAGGAAAATATATTCATAAGACAGCCACCAGTAACTAAACTATAAAGATATGTATCCACTCGTATTAGTTGGCATCATAGACAACTAAATACAGTGAATTGAAAACTATTCCACTTAGATTAATAACAGCCTGTTTCATATTCTGTGCTGAGAAGGAACACATCTCTTTCACTGTAAGTGGAGAAATTGTATACACCTCAAGTGTATTGGGGATGTCTAATGAATGTCATACCGACTACTTAGCAGAAAATCTACTACTATTACGATATTCAGGGTGAGCAATTTTTTCAAACATTTCATATGACATTTTGCCTCAGAAAATTCCTTGATAGCTTGAAATGAAGGGTTTCAACGTTCTTTCATCTGAGTTTTGAGCTTCTAACAATCATGTTCAGTCGCGTAAAATATTGATGTTTTGTGTACTGCATCTACCAGCACAAGCTATCCTAACTGTGTAGTAATCGATTAGATGGTCACGTGATACCCTATAGATATTTCTTGGTGCAACTCATCTTAATAGTTCGGAAAGTCAAGGGTCAAAATACCCTTTTGGTTTGATTAATCTTGAGCTCAACAAACCTTTCTAATTCTTTAATGATCTAGTGTTAATCGCATAATATAGTGAAACACCACTTGATAACTTCAATAGCACTGAACCAGACTTTACTGTCCTAACTGTTGGTCTGTCAGTTAATCTCAGCCACAGCAATCAGGAGGTCAACACTGGAGTCTTGGCCAACCACAAGAACTATGTAGTATCTCTTATGTAAGTGCTTCTTCATCTGACTTATTTGTACATTCGGATAAGTGATTTAAGTATCTTTGTTCTCATCAGCTGATTCAGGATGACAGTAAAAGTGCTCTCAGCAGCCTCTGGCTCATAAGTCTCAACCTCTGATTCGTGGCCTAACCAGTGCACAAAAGGTTCATCAGTATCATGCAGCCTTAACTTGCTTATGTGGTCCACATGCTCACTCTTGCCACGTGACCATAGTAACTCGTATATCAACATACCAAATCAATACCCTGTCTCCATGCTGAAATGTTGATTCCTTAACTGTTTTATCATCATATCTCTTCTGCCTTTCCCAGCTGCTGATGCACAAACTCATGTACATCAAGCACTGAAGATCTTAACCACTATGCATATTTTAGCAGATACCCTAGCACATTTGCTCTAGGGGTGGACCTTACTAGCCTACCCAGAGGGCTGTATACCTCAACTAAGAATGAGCTGAGCATACTTCGATAACAACCAGCTGATCTCTGTTCTGTTGTTCAATATGTCATCACAAGGCATGGCAAGTGTTTGTTACAGTCAATTGTACCAGTATTAACAAATTTTGCAAGCATCTGCTTGATAGTTTGTGTTATCCATTTTGCTAAACCATCAGCCTAGGGGTGATAAGGTGAAGTGTTTGTCTTCACCACACCAAACACTTTACCTTGTGCATGACAAGGATTGCCCATTACAGATATGGATCCTTCAGTTGCTCATCCCTAAACCCCTAAAGCATTAATAATGTTACTCACTGATTAGTGGAACCTCATACTATATGGCTTGACGTTGCTGTGGCAGAAATGGCTTTAGCTCCCACAAAGCATCCAGGGTTGAGACATTATATGAACAGACAGGGTCTCACAGTGTGGCGAGACAATCCATATGCATTTCCATGTTGTGAGCCTAGACGATGCAGTATGACATAATAATATTTTTGCAATGTTGTGATCCAACATGCAATCATCCTTTCCAGATTTTTAAAGTTCATAAGCTATTTCAGTGATGCTTGGTCTACCCGAATAATGATCTATCTGCCATACAAGTAGGGTCACTAGTGTTTAATAAAAACCACAAATGTAAGTAGTTTTTCTGTCCTTTCGGATCTGAGTTTAGGAGCCGTGAGCATATAACTAGCATATGTAATTGTATATTCCACTCTTTCATACAACTTCTTAAATCAGTATTTAACAGTTGTGTCGTGGATATGTTTTTGCCTTGAGGCCTGCCATTAGCCATAAACTTTTGAAATTTGTGTGAAAAGAAATATACTAAAAAAAGTAATATTTACGTAGCTAAATACTTATCTATAACTGAACTAAAACAATGAGAAATGCATCTATTTTTCTTATTCACTCAGTAATCATCATAATATACATGTAATACCTGTACATCTTTGTTTTAATATTTCAGCTGTGAATACTCTTTGTTTGGATTGAAGGCGAGCCCCTTTCTTAGTAAAAAGCCTGGTTACATGCATGCAGACATGCCAGCACTGGAGTTTCAACTGAAGCTTGCTTTAATGGCAGGAATGCCTACTCACATTATCCAGTCCATTTAAAATGCACATCAGATTTATTGAGAACAGAATTGGTGTGCTGATCTTGGAAAAGTTGGCCACAAAACATCAGTAATGCAAAATCAAGAAAAATGCGACTTCTTGTTTGATCAAAGTCAAACTCAGTCTCAAAGCCAGTCTCATATTACTTTAATCTTTATAGAATCTGTAAAGACTCAATTTCTATCCACAATATGACCGAGAAATTCCACCTTCTTGTATATAAGAGCAAAATTCACTTTTTTCAACTGAAACCTGCCTTTATTGTCTGGTGAGGCATCATTCTCAGGTTTTCACCAGCAGACTCGAACATTCAGCCAAACACCAAGACATCATCAA